CATAGTTTACAAAGAGCTCCTGGATATGGAGATGTACAGTGTAGTGGTGGAAGTGCAGGATCTGGAGCTAGAAAGCTTTGGTTCTGATTTTTAGCTCTGTTACTTAACTAACTGTATGACCTTGGGGAAGATATTGAACTTCTTGTTTCCTTTCTCTCATCATCTGAAAAAAAAAGTCGAGATAATAATAATACCAACTTCATAGAGTTTTGAAGATTGTGAGCTAATATATGAAATGTGGCTTGACACATAGTACCTTTCAACAATGCGAGCTGAGTTATATATCTTGATCCTCACAATAACATTGTGAGGTAGGAACTGTTATTATCCACATACACGGGTGTGAAAACTGAATGTGCAGAGGGATTAAATGATTTATTTAAAGGTACATAGAAAACTAAGGAGTTGAGGCTCAAACTCCATAGCCTTTTTTTTTTTACTGCATGATGCTGTCATTCAAATAACTAAAACTTAAAGAACATATGAGTTAATTAATTGATGTCATATGTTAGTAAAAAGACTCTGTATTTGGGAAATTTTCATTCAGATTTCCTGAGCTTAAGAGAGATACAAAATGCTAAAAATGTATGTAGGAATAAATAAAAATTGCAGAATTAGCCAGCATACTAGCTGATATGAATGCACATGAACAATTAACACTCATTTCATATCATAATGTAATTTTCTCACTGAAGCAAAAATGAATTTTCCCCTTTGGTGGAGCATCAGCTCTCCCTTACTGTGGAGTATGACATGAATTTTTATATCTTTCAAGCTCTCTTGAAGACATATTGAATAATGACATATTTCATTTTGAAAAAATCCACTCCTTCCTTTTTCTTCTTGGTGACTACATTCAGAACATTATTCTTAAACTTACTCTAAATAATTTATACTTCCTCTAATCTTCATTTTAGGAGTTATGAAATTTTAGTGAAACTATGCACAATAGGATAAGGTGACTTCAGTGTGCTTGCACTAGAGTTAGGTAGTGCTAGTGAAATATCTCACACTGTTATTTAGTTCATGAAAAGTAATAGCCTTGAGAAATTTAATTTAGAAAGCTGCATATTTTGAGTAATATATAGATTCCTTGACATGTAGGTAATTATTCAATTGAGAGATTTTATATGAAAATGTTAAATTAAATGCTACTGGCAGTTGCTAAAGATTGTACTTTTTAATTATTCTATTTTTCATCCAATGTCTCTTTTTTTTGTCATTGACATTTTAGGTTGCTGGCAGAATATTCCTTTACTTCAAATGTATGTTATCAATTCAGGTAATAGAGACACATAGTAGGTACTTGATAAACACTTGTTGTTAAATAAATGACCTCAATTGGCCATGATCACTTTGTGGGTTGCTGTGGAAATTGTTTCGGCTTCTACTTCACTTTTTCAAGTATGCAAGGGATTTTACTGAGCTTCTCAGCCTCAGTGTGATTAATGAGATTTCTAAGCATGTTCACATTGGTGCTATCGAATCTCTAGGGTCTGAAACCAGAGAGTTGTTGATTGAGTATGCTTATGTCTCCTCCGAGTGAGGGCAGACAGAAAAAAATTGACTCTCTTAACAGAGCTTTAAGTTTCTGACTGAAGATACCCTGAACTGAACATGTAGGCACATGGTGTGTTACATGAACTTAACCAAGTATTTATTGATGCCCACCTTTTAATTTTAAGCTAGAGTTTGGGTCTTCAGTTTTCAAAAATAAATACACACAAAACTACCAAATTGTTCAAGTGTCTGCCACATATAAGTTCTGTTTTTTGTGATGTCGTTCTTTATATATTTGACTATCTCAGTTCAATAATTTCAGTGGGATTTCTGAAAGCTCCTTTTTGTTATTGGAATAATTAGTCACGATCATATTTGAACATATTTTAGGTGTCAGTAGTGTCGATAGTATATGGCACAGATGAAGATGTTGCTGATTAGGTCATTTTTTTCTTTTTTCTTTTGTATAAAAGAACACAGAACTAACTTTTGTAAGTCCTTTGATCATGAAGGTGTGAGCTATTACTAGGCAAACCAATGATAAAGGCTTGGGAAAAGAACCCACATAATACTTTAGTAAATCATTATTATCGTATCTACATGTGAGAGACAAAGCTATATTACCCAGATCTTCTGTAGTGTAAATGATCAGCAGAAACTGGAGAGACTGACACTCTTGTCAAGGTAGGGTTCACAAGCACTTGTTTAACTATCGTTAATACATGTGTTTTAAACAGTTCTATAAGTGCATTAGAGAATAAACTCACATCCATTCACTTAAAATACACTCTTCTCTTTATAATAAATGGTAGCACTCTTATAAACATGCATATAGGAGTGTCATGCATCTTTTTATGTTTTGAATTTGTTTTTAACTTCTTGTGATTGTCTGTTATTCTAAGTTGACCAGATATTTTTTAATTCTTCTATTTGAAGGTGTTAAATATTTTTTTTCTCTAAATTTGATGTTGTTTGACAATTTATGGCACATACCCTCAATTCTAGCATCAAATCTGATGATCTATCACATTCATTCTGGGTTTCTCCACATTGTTGCTATGCTGCTGATTATTATGTTTTGTATGAATGTTTCTTGCAGAGTATGCAGGTTTTTGACGGTGGTAATATCTAAACCAATTACTCCATCTTTAGATTGTTGACTGAAATATTTTCAGGAATAAAATTAAAATCATTACTGATTACCAGATATTAAACCCAACATTCTTCTCTAGGTCTGCAAAGCCTTCTCCTGTTTTAGAGGAAGTAAATTTTAGGAAGGCATTCTTTCATCCATCATTACTCAGTAAATATTTATAAAGCATTTGCAACGTGTGAGTGAGGCCTAGGACTATGCAGCGGGACTGTAGTGGTGAAGGGATAAACACAGTCTCTGTCTTGAAAGGCGGCATGGACTAATAGGAAGAGCACTGAATTGTGAGTCCTGAGACTTGAGTTCGAGCTCCAGCTGCATAATTCTGGCAGATGTATATTTCATAAGACCTTGTTTGCCTTATTTATAGATATTATACTAGCTCTATTATTTTTTTACGACTTGGTTTCTTCTAAGTTTGACAACTGAAAATTATTTTAAAAGCATTTCTTCTTTTTTATCATTTGATTATTAGTTTGCTATTTGACACTAAAGTACTTAAGATCTTATTTTCCTTTTCTAGCACCAATACACACACACACACGTATGCACACACATACATATGTGCATATGCATATTTTGAAGATATGTAATGCTTATCTTAAGGGCAAAGTTTGGCTCTACTCTGTAAATGTGTTCAGAAAACAATATAACACAGATACTGAAGGCAGCTTGTTTTTAACTTGTAGCTAAACATGACATTCAAATGTTAATTGGATGAATAAATCTTGTTCATTTTACAGACATGGAAATGTCAATGGAATAAAACTATTTATCACGAGATAATGGTCTCCTGCCGCCAGATAAATGCCAAGATGAAGATACTTACTGAAAATGTATCAAAATATTCTATTGCTATTTATTGAAAATAAAGGTTGAGGAAAAGTTCAACTTTTCAGGTCAAACATGAGAAATGCTCTGCCTGTGGTAATAGTATATTACGATATCAAACACAATGTGCATGGTAAAGAAACATGAGAAAATTCTAAGAAGTAACGGTCTATAAATGAATGTTTTCTCTTTGAGGTATGAGCATTACTGGATTAGTGCAATGGGGGCTGGGAGGAGACTCCTAATATTTATTTAGCACTTATAATATTGTATCTATTACAATCTTATATTCTAGTGCTCCTTTTCCTACCAGCCCCCCATCTCTGCTCATACTCTATGAGTTTGAATACAGTGCATTTTGGTTTTGGGGGGAGGGGTTTGAGTAGGTTATTTCTCCAAGTTTTGATGCATTTGATGACCAAATATTTCTTTGTATTTAGTGATTTAATATACTGATGAGTTTTTTTTTTTTTTTTTTTAATTATATTGTCCACTTGCAAAGGAAAACAGCACACCTGCAATTCTTGAGGACATGATAGCTCGGAATGGGCCAATAGCACTAAATTCTAACAGTTAGACAACTTTTTTTCTAATAGTGTATGGTTTAAAAGTTGCTAGGTATCTCTCTCTTTCTGCTTCCTTTTCTGAACTTAGATATCTATTTTTCCACTTTACTTATCTTCTGCCATAGCGATCTTCATAAAATACATTATTTGAGTGGTTAAGAATAATTGAAGCTGTTTAAACAAAGAAAAGGAGAATTATTGTTCACTAGAGTTTTTGCTAATCTCTTCATGACAGTCCCTTCTCACATCCCTCCACCCCTAACATCCCTTTCTCCCCTGGACACAACTGGCTGTTTATGTCTCCCTCATCTGGACTGGCAGAGAACTGCAGTTTTCCTCTGTCAGCGACCACTTTCTTTCTACTCAATATTTTAATTGTTGATATACTGTACTATTGATATACTTCTCATAGTTCTCCTAGTAGATGGTAGGCTCCTTACTAGGAGAAATTGTTTTCCTTCCCTCTGTTCCCTATGATATCTAACAGAGTGATTTAAACATTACAGATACTCAGTCAATGAGAGAGTGAAAGAAGTATGTGTATGGTCTCTGATTTTAAGGAATACAGGAAGTATTAAGACTTCAGAGATATCCATGATGCACCTTGTTAATATGGGCATCTGTCTAGCTAGTCTTTTGCCTATGCTTGTATCTATTAGTTCTCTCTCAAACACATTGGGATTTTATTTTATTTATTTTATTATTTATTCATAGAGGCATTGAATGAGCAGATAATTTAACTGCTAGATGGATATAAAGGAGAGAAACTTGAATGTTTAAATTTCCTTCAGGAAGAAAATATTAGTTCATATAGCGCTCTTTTGATATATGAATAGTATGTGTATTAGTAAGTTTATGAAAAAATCATAATATTCTTCTGATAGTTCTAAATAGACACCAAACACCATTATGTCACACGGATTACTGACAATCTTTACCTTACGTTTTAACAGATGGAAGACCTTTAGCTCTGAAGGACATTTGGGACGGAGTACGTGAGTGCTATAAGACACGGCTGCAGCAGGGACCATGGGATACTATTACCCAACAGGTTAGAGAATATTTTCATTTTATTTTATGCAATCCTTTCCTTATGCTCATTTTTTAAAATCTAGTTCTCTCTCCTCTGCTGTTTTTCCTATTTCATTCTTTTATATACTTACAGATTTCAACTCAAAGACATTTTTCTTTAAAAAACCTTCCTAGACCTAGGCTTGGTTTAGCCTCCCTGTTATCCACTCTCATAGCACACTGTAATTTTTTTTCATGGTGCTTATCACATTTTAATTACATATTTGGATTTTTTAAAATTACTGTCTGTCTCTTCCATTATGCTGTGTGCTCTCATGAGGACATACCATGTCTGTTATACTCTTCATGGAACACCCAGCACCAGTACAATACTTATAATGGAGTGAGGCCCAATAAAAATGTATTAAGTAAGTGAGAATAGAAGCAAAGTTAGCATATACACTGAAAAAATAGATGATTTAGCTGGTATCACCTGTAATGTTTCAAAGTTTTGCTCATAGGTTCATTTGTAAAAAAAAATTAACTGTTGATTAACAGTAGGTTTGCAATAGTGAGCTGAGAAAGTAGAGAAAAATAGATCCGTGAAAGTAAATATAATAAGTAGATTTGCAAAAGTAGAGAAAATAGACCTGTCAGTCATATAAGTCATTATTACTGCCTTGCTAAAATCAGCAGTTAATTATTTTAGAAATTTAAAAGTACTCATCACCTTGCAACCAATCATGGTCTCCTTAAATATAATTTTTACTTATATCAAAGTCTTATTTTTCCAAGGCTCTGTTAAGCTTAATCAAAGATTCTTTTAAAATGACTTTATCAACGATTAGAATTTTCATGCCCTCTTATGTGTTTGATCATAATAATGACAGTTTACCTCCCAATCAACATAAGAATCCTTAGCATTTCATAAGTAGTTCTTTGACAATGATTGCAAATGACCATTTTCTAGGTTTTAATTGAGGACAAAACTAGGTGTAAGTGTGTGTATCTTTCACACTGCCCCTCAAATTAATTTTTTCCTTTTCCTCCCCCACTTTGACCCTCCTAGATCAAGCCCTGTAGCCTCACCTGGAACAGTTAGTAAAGCCTCCTACCTCTGGTTTTCTGCTCCTTTCCTCCCTTCTCCTTACCATTAGTCAGATCTTTACAACTCCTGCATTTCTCCTAGCCACGTGCAAAGCTGCAGTAGCTCCCCAAGGGCATATGACATGTAGTCTAAATGCCTCACTTGGGCTTTAGTGGCTGCCACTCCCTGGCTCCAACCTGCCCTTTCTTTTTTTTCTTTTCTTTTCTTTCCTTTTCTTTCTTTTCTTTTCTTTTCTTTTCTTTTCTTTTCTTTTCTTTTTCTTTTTCTTTTCTTTCTTCCCTCCATCCTTCCTTCCTTCCTTCTCTCCTCTCTTTTGTTTATTGCATCCACAGTTTATCAGGGGAACATACATATGAGGCTTATCTTGGGCAGCGGCAAGACAACATATGCATCCTCCATTCCAGCCTGCCCTTTCAAGCTTATCTTCTATTCCACTCCACACAGTCTCAGCTCCTGCCAAACATAGCCATTAATTACCTGAACCCATCTTGTGCAGGGTGTTCTTGAAATTCTTTCCAGGTTTAATGCCTTCCCTGTTGCCTTTGTTCTGTCTTTATATTTCTTTCTCTTATTCTCTCCTATGTTCCTTCCTCTGAAACCCCGTCAGCTCACAAGAATGGCCCCTTCTGAAATCCTAGTTCCGTAGAACAGGCATGGATGGTTACAATGATAAATGGTAATGAATATATAAGCAAATCAGCTGTAAAGATTTTTGGCAAGAGCATTTAATTTTATGCAAAGTATTTTAAACTAACCTTCAAGTATGTCAAGGTGAGTGCTAAGAGTTTCAACTTCCAATGTCTTGTCAGTGACCACAAACCATCTAAAAGCTTATATGGTAGTATCAGAATCCACAGGACCCAGAAAATGTTTGATCGTAAGAGTAAATGAAGATAGCAAAGGATAAAGGAAGAGAACATCCAAAACTATATATATATTTAACTTTAGTGTCTTTTGTCTCAGCTTCTTCTCATTTATGTTTTCCATTATGTTCCTGAGCTCAATTCTTATCCATTTCATTTTTCTGTCGCTAGAAGTCCTGTTATTATGTTCTCAGTGCAAGCCTATTGCACAATTCCTGGTAGTCTGTGTCCTTTTGGGTTTTAATTCTACGTTTCTCTGTTTTGTCATGTCACATGAACAAGATTTTGAACTCAACTGTATTTTCTTAGTTTTCCAGTATGACATTACAAATAGATCTTTTTCCATTAATAGAACTGCTACGTTGCTAAAGCAACCAAATGAACCAATCTATACCTTAACTGTTTTTAATGGAATTGATTAATATCTTTCAATTTATAGGCATTTTAGTGTCATATAGATAGTTTATTAGTGGAACATTTTTTCCTACCTATCACATAGCGTAATAGGTAAGGATCAGATCCTATCACAATAAGTGTTACTAGCTAATACCAAGTGCGGGCCTACTTGATATGAGGGATGTTTGATATAACGAAACTGTAACGCGGTTATAACATTTAGATATTCCTTTGGAATTTGTCTTATTAGAAAAGATAAAAAACTTTGTTTAAGCTTTGGAATAGCTCATCACAGTGCATGTACAGGCACTAAAGACCTAGCGAGAGAAACCCGTTGGTTGCCATTGCACTATTTGACGTTTGAAAGTCATCATCGATATTTCCTTTGGAGGTCTTGGCTTCTAATCTCAGGTTAGTTAATGAGTTGGTATTTCTGTGCTCTTCTTTGCTTGAGATCTTCGAGAGGGTGGGTCTTCACTTTTATAAGGCCCCATGTGAAGAAAAAATTGTGGGGTGAAGGGGAAGGTGTGATACAGCATGAGGGGAGAATGAGCTGGTAGAATATCGGTGGCACCAAATAGGAGACACCGCTTTACAGAATTATACTAAAGAACCATTAGCGTGCAGACTGAACGTGATAATAATATCCTGTCCTTTAGAGTGGCTTAAAAACAAAAGCAGCCTTCGCATAATATAAAATGCATTTCAGTTAATTTTCAGGCTTGATTGTGCTCATATAGTTTGTTGCTCTTCATCTTTCGTAATCACACTTCTGTTCTCTCAACATTTGTCTTGATGATAAGGACCTGCTCATGTCAGACACGAGCCCTCTCTTTTGAAGACAAACCACTCATGAATCTCATACATTTGATTATGGTGATTACTTACCTGCTTTTGTCCAACATTACAGGCTACCTATTATCTCAACCCTGCAGCCTAATAAGGAACTTCCGAAAAAAAGTTAACAGATGCCTAAGCTGGATCTGCCTAAATCGATAGAGCGAATATACAGTAATGATCGCTGGAAAGTGTGGGCTCTATGTTTTAGGTAAAGGGTTTCTGTGATCTTGGCACCAGCTAAAGTTATTAGATAAAAAAGAATACTTTTAATTTTAATTGAAGCTGTGTATGTTTATGTATGTGGTATATAGTGGTCAGATGAGTAATTTTTTCTTACTGTCTTTTTATAAACATGCAAGAGTAGAAATAGTATAATGTACTTATAAACTCATGGCTGATCTTATTTTTCTGGTATCTCATTTAATCTGGAATTTTTTGGAAGCAAATCCTAGACATCATTTTATCTCCTCCATAAATATTTAAGAAGATATTTTTAAAAGATAAGGACTCCACACACATGTTTATAGCAGCTTTATTCAGAGTAGCCCATGGAAACAACCCAGGTGTCCTTGCGAATGTGGATGGTTAAACAAACTGTCGTATATCCTTACCATGGAAGATTACTCAACAATGCAAAGGAATCAGCTATTGATACACTCGATAACCTAGATGAGTCTCCAGATCATTATGCAGAGTGCAAAAAAAAAAAAAAATCCTAAAAGATTGCATAGCATATGATTTCATTTATCTAGTATTTTTGAAATGACAAAATTATAGATCGGAGAACAGATATACGGTTGCCAGGGAGTTAGGAAGAGAGTTGTGGGTGGGAGGGAAGTAGGTTTGGCCAGAAAAGGCAACATGAGGGAAATGTTCTGTATCTGACTGTGTCAACGTCAATATCTTGGTTTAGATAGTATACTATAGTTTTGCAAGATGTTAGCACTGGGGGATCTGGGTGAAGGGTATGAGGGATTTCTGTATCACTTCTGACAATGACATGTGAATCTACAGTTATCACAAAAAATTTAATTTAAAAATAAGATAAGGACTCTTAAAAAACATAACCATAATTCTATTATTGCAACTAAAATTATAAATTTCTTAATATTTTAAGATAAACTATTGATGCTTAAATTTCTCCAATTGTTTCTTTTTTTTTTCTGTATCACTTGACAATGACATGTGAATCTACAGTTATCACAAAAAATTTAATTTAAAAATAAGATAAGGACTCTTAAAAAACATAACCATAATTCTATTATTGCAACTAAAATTATAAATTTCTTAATATTTTAAGATAAACTATTGATGCTTAAATTTCTCCAATTGTTTCTTTTTTTTTAACAGTATCCAATGAACTTTACACATTAAAATGGTTAATATCTCTTAAGACATATTGAATCTAAGATTCTTATTCTTCCCTCTGTTTTTTCCTTACAGTTTTTTTGTTGAAGAAACAAATTTGTCCTATAGTATTTGCAGTCTGGATTTTTTTTTTTCCTAATTGTATCTCTGTTGTGTTGTTTAGCGTTTCTCCTTTTTTTCTATAAACTGGCAGTTAGATCTTGAGACTTGATCAAATTCAGGTTTGGCTTTTTGAGCAAGAATACTTCATAGGTTCTGGATACTTCCATCTGGAAGAACATGAAGTCTGGTTATTGATCTTTTTTTTGTGATGTGAGCAGCCACTGATTATTGCCTAGATTCATTAGTTCATTCAAGATTGCAAAATGACAATGTTCTAATTCTTTTATTCATTATTTATTAGTTGGACTACTTCTTTAATGACAGTTTCCCTCACCAGTTTAGTTACCTTAGGTATGCTTTGTA